TGGGATGCCCAAGACAAGTACTTCTTCAAATCTTTCACAGTTATTATAAAACTTTCAGCAAAGGACTAGAAGCCATGCTCATGTTTTTTCAACAGCGCAAGCTCACGAACATGTGTCATTCGACACTGTATGTTTGGTTATTAGTCTGTTTGTTTCTGTTTGACATGTAAAGTGTACAGTATGCTATTTTTATAATAAATAATCTTTTTTAGGTAAAAGCTACTATAATGAAGTGTATTTTATGTCATGTCTGTAGTGATTTGTCCATGGCTGTGTTTAAAAATGATAACAGACATCAACCTTTTGTATTTTAAAAGTGTTCTTTTGCAAAATATGTGTTTGTTTATCATTTTTACCATGTTAACTGTATATTTGTATTGGAACTATCCTTCTTTAGATTGTCATTGACTGGCTCGAAAAGAATGCAGAAGACTGGCTGGAATTGTTTCTAGAGTCCGATAAAGTGGAGTATTTTTCTGAGTCAGTGTGTTGGTAAGTTTCTTTATATTGATAACAATAATGATGATGATAATAATAATAGAGCTATGGGATCTTAAAACAGAAACTGTACCTGCTGGTAGTGATCGGAACACTTGGCCTTCAGGCAAGGTTTTAGCCAGAAGGGTGTCCAGCTGTCCTATGGACACCCATTTTCGGAAGAAATACAAGGAAAATTCACCCAATCTCTTTTTAATTTTATGGGAAAACATGCCTTCTGGATGGCTAGTTTTCAATGTCTGGCTTAAAGCCTGCCTACAGGGTTTAATAGGCCCTTTGCAGCTAGTCATTCATGTGGTACAAAACCTCTATGCTGGAGAGCAGGAGACAAGCAGCTGGGACAAGAGAAACAAAGGAAATTGCCATGTTAGATGATACAAGCTCTTTATTTGTCTTCTCCCAGTGTGTCACTTGCTCTCCAGTATGGTGGATTTTGCAAAGGGCCTATTTAAAAGTGAGTGAAAAAATAATGAATCGAACTAAACTTTGCATGGGAACGTCAGTATTGGAGTATTCTCCCCCAAAAATTAATTCAGTTATTGAATGTTTTAGGGAGAATACCCTTCATGCATTGCAACAGGAAGGAAGCATAGGAATGAGAAGACCTCAAGTTACAGAGATGGTAAGTTGAACTTCATGGCACTATTATTTTATTGTTATGGAAGACAGTGATTTTTTAAGTGCCCATGTTGTCTTTGAGGATCAGACCATGATTTCTTCTCAAAAAGCATGAGCAACAGTGAAGTGCAGTGTAAAATGCACAAGCAATTAAGTGAAAAATTATAGCAACGATAAAAACCCCTGCATTCTGTTAACATATTGCTGTCTACTAATGTTCAGTGTACTTGAAAATTTAGTGATAGCCAGGGCTCAGGTTGCTCTTTTTTATCAATATAGGACCCTGATGCTCCCGTAAGACAGAACAGACCTCTTGCTGATTTAGACCAGGTATGTGAAAAAAAAAGAGCCGCGTGTGCATGGAATAAAAGTAATGGCATGACATTTAGTGTTGTTTAAGAGGGGCACCACAGTGCATTCATTTCTGGTAATCAATAAAATAAGACAGTGTATCACTTGATTTGATCAATGGTAGGTAATTTTTCAGAGCTTCTGACAGGGTACAGGACTGACAATACAATTTGATCAAGCCCTCACAATTCCTAAAATCTGCACAGTTCTGCAAGTGAGTTGCACAGGCAGGTGGGTGGGTGTGCAGGTGAATGGGCAAACAAAAAGATAGATGGCTGGATGGACTTTTTCTGCATTTTATCAGATTGAACTGGAATTTAGTAAAGTTTGTTTTGAGGAGAGGCTACCGTGAGTAAAACCTTTCAGGCCAAGGGAGAGAGTCAACAACAAATGCATTCTCCATAATACGGTTTTACCTCCAGGAGTTGAAACTGAGGTACACCACTGCACCACCCTTTCTCCCTCTGCATGACTGAGTTGTTTATTACACCTCGACCATTGATGATAATATTACGAGCAATTTCTATAACCCTGGTCTAGCAATATCAATTCCTTAATTACATAAACACCAACTTGATGCATTATTTTACTTATACCTTGTTTGACTTCATTTCAGGAAGATGAAGCCAGATTGCTGCGACATCTATTCTGTTTGATCAGGGCAGGCAAACTCGAGGAGGTAAATAAGTGAGCGGTAATAATGATGATTGGTTGGGGGGGGGGGGAGCTTTTAGCTAAGCACCTGCTGTCATAAAATCATGTTTGTTACAGAGATGTGTCAAGTAATGAAATCAACGTTTCAGGGTTAGCCAAAAGAAACCTTGATTGAAGAACTTTTGTTTGTGCCCTATGTGCTGCTAGGAGCAGTAAGGAGTGGTAGTGTTGTTGAATTATTTTGAAATTTTCTGGTATTTCAATTTTCAACTGATGTTTTCTTTTTTTATTGTCTTCAAGGCTCAACATTTGTGTGAAAAATGTGGTCAGTCCTGGAGGGCAGCAACTCTCGAAGGCTGGAAACTCTGGCATGATCCTAATGTGGAGGGAGGTACATGTTCACCATTTTGCTTCCTAATTTCTTTTTGCAAAATCTGTAGAACATGGTTTAACAAAAAAAAAGAAAAAAATATTGACATACTGTTTCACCTTGTTGATGAAAAAAAATGTTTCAGCTCTTATTGTTTAACTTGTTGCGACTTGTTGAATGTAAGGAATAGACCCTCTCTCTACTCAACAACATTCAACATGGTACATGCATGATGCACTGTTCAACATTTGTTGAACAAGCAGCAACATTTATTGGTCAATTAATGTTGAACTGGGTGTATGTCGCAAACTTAAACTTGCATCTGAGAATATGTGATGATCGTTGAGGGTAAATTGCAAAATAAATTTCCTGTTTATCAAAATAAAATAACAATAAAAAACAATGGGGGTTTCAAAAATGCTGTAGTTAACTAACCATTGCCCTGTCTCAGTCAGTTCAAATGTGTCATTTCAGAAAATATCCATTCCCTCCACAGAGGGCACTCCCCCTCCCCTGCCACCTTGCCTTGTCGAATGTTGTACTTGTCATAACCCCACCCCCTGAAATATCGGTGATTTTCTCACTTGGTTTGGCACTGAGAAGAGTGTTGTGAAGCAAGACAAAAACGGCCATGTGTGGGAGACTAGAGTACAAGGCCTTGGTAATTTTTGGTAACAGCCAACTAACTTGCATCCATCCAGCTGGATTTCTTGCTTGTTTAAATATTCATTAACCCTTTAAGTCCCAATATCCACATATAAATTCTCCATACTGATCTTCATACATTTCCTGAAAGAATTACAGTAGTTGAGAGAGTTTGATAATAGATCAAAGCATTTTCCCTTCAGTGATCATTTTGTTAACTCTCATAACCATTTCTCTGTGCAACATGAATTATTGTTAGAAGAAAATTGGGACTTACAGGGTTAAGAATATTATTTTGTTTTAGTAAAAGCCGCCTAGTGGTCTATTATCAATGCCGCGTTCTGATTAGTTGAGCTACCACTAGGCTATATGTTATAGCCCATTAGTAGCGAAAAGTGCCGGCTTTGAAAACCAAAAAAATGGCAGCTGAATCTCGTTTTGCTAGCTAAAGTTGTTTTGTCTCGATATTTTTGACCAACTGGTTGGATTTTAATAAAACAATTATTCCTCTCGCCCTCATGGCTTCTGAGTCAATAGCCCATTCAGGCTCGAGGGATAACTGTTAATTAGTTGTCATGTGTGGGACATACATGTTGTGTAAACTAAAGTGCTGTAGCTCGTCCAAATCCTGAATTTTTATGCTGATACTCAAGGTCATTTCAAAATAGTGCGTAGTTGATAATGGTTCCATTTTTTCCAGTATCAAACAATGAAGCTCTTGCTCCCATGGAAGGAAACCCATTCAGAGATGTGTGGAAAGCAGCTTGTTGGAAAATGTCACAAGAGGTGTGCAGTTTTGTATTCTTGGTTTTCACATGACATCGCCAAAATTAAAAAATGAAGAATTATCAATTTTCCTGAGTTTTTACTTTCACGAAGTGTTAGAGCCGCTAAAACTTAGATTTTTCAAATTTTCACTTTGAAAGGGTTCTTTGTTTTGTGATAGATTATGCTTGAATGCACTGCATTTGTGTGGCGGCCGTGACAGCTGTCGTGTAGATTAACCCATTCGCCCCTGAACCGCCCGTAACCGCCCGTGCCGATCCAGGCCCTTTCTACCCTTTGTGACGTCATCAGTTTTAACGGTCAAGGACAACTTTCTTCGCTAACTTGTGCATAGTGAAGAGATCTTTCAAACCATACCAGAATGAGCACAATTCAGTCAAGGACACCGGAGAAAGAAGCAAAAAACCACGTGACATTGACCTGAAAATCTCCATGAAAATCTTGTTCCATTGCCCACCTACCTTTCCTTTCACCTAATCCTAAGATCCTAAAAGCTTTCCTAAAAACTCTTCCCACCAAAATGAAGCCTACTAAATGCCCAGCAAGAGAAAAAAAAAATGAGGCAAGAAAAGCGAAAAAAGAAGGTAGGAGAGAAATCTCGAAATTTTGCTTTCTGCGCATGCCCGAACTTCGCAAGCTGATATTTTGCATCTGGATCAGAAGACCGTGAAGTGTACGACCTGTAAACTGGTTTGTGGTAAGTTTTAGCTCTTTATAGCACGACAGTGACCAGAAAACCACTCAACTAACTTGAAAACGCGTTTTTCGGCAAAATCTCCAGGAGCGAATGGGTTAAAAAGTGACTTATTTGGGGGGATTTTGCTTTCTCAACAGTCCAGCAGCAATTTCATACTTTTTCTCACAAATAGGTTAATATGAGAGTAGAGTCGCAACATGTATGCATAATAAATGTATGGGGTTATACGAGAATCTTACTGAAAAGTATTACTTTAATGTTTATGAGTTGCTCGAGGGATAAATGTATGCTTTCATAGCAAAACTTGGCAACAGATGTTTCTGTTGGTTTCCAGCCGCCATATTGGTGTCCCTCTGTTAAAAAAATTTATATCTCTTGTATGAAAAATTGCGCCGTATGGAGAGAAGGAAAAAATGATGATGATGATGAGTCCACGTTTGTTTTATGCCCTTTGATGAGTACAATTACAGAGTTCACTTGTACTAAGTGACCTCGTCTTCTGTCTCATGAAGAATAACTTGTTGTCTTAGGGTTACATGAAAGAATTATACTTTCATTCTTATTTATCAGTCCAAGTTTAGCACGTACGAGAGAGCCATTTATGCTGCACTTAGTGGAAACCTTAGCCAGGTATGTAGGTACTGGATGGTCTTGGTTATAGCTTTGTTAAATCTTACATGTGCATACATCTTTGTACAGCTTTAGATGTCAGTAATGTTACAATGCTTAGACTTGTCATGTACTTGGATAATTAACCTGTGTAAAGACACCCCCTCCCCTGAAAAAAAAAAATAGGGAAGAGAGACGACAAGTAATAAAAATCTATTTTTTCGTATATGTTGTAATTAATTTTTTATCTCAAACCTGTAAATATTTTATTTTTTCTTTGTTTCAACTTCATTGGCATACATTACCTTACGCAAAAGCAAAAGCAAAATGAAAATTACCTGAGATAAAAAAATAACTTCAACATATATAACACGGTAGAGACTTTCAGAATTTGGTAAAATTGAATTGGCATAAACTTTGCCACCGTGCTGGTTAAGGGAAAGGGAAAGTTAAAAGTCCTTATATTAGATCAGTAACTCTTAATAGTACTTCAAATGGCAAACCCTGAGGCTGACGATGCTGTCCCCCTCCCCCATCAGTGCTTGAAAGGATTTCAGGTCACACCTGGGAATCGGAACCACACAAAAGGCTGCCACGCATTAACTGACTGTGCTAATCCTAATCCTTGCTTCTACTACTGCTTGCTTTTGTGCATGGGAAAGACAGTTTGCTCCACTGCACTGTCTTCAGCATATGAGGAGGCATTTTATTGCTGGTGGCAGGGGCATAGCCAGCCCATAGACCTTTACTAGTGTAGGGCCTACAAATTTTTGTTTTGATCACTCTACCCCTTGCAATAAATTATGCTTAAGAGCTCCAAGTGTTGGTGAGGTCAGTGCTTACTAGTCATGCACGCAATTTTCAGGATGTGTGGAAATGAAAGTCAGCCAGGCCTACAACTAGTCGAAAAGCTGGTTACTCTCCTCGCTGGTTGTATTTCCAGGGCTAGGGTGTGGAGTGGCATGTTAAGGGTACCAAGATGGAGAGAGCATACTCTAACATACTTCCGCATACTCTTGAATAATTTTAAACAATTGTTGGTTTGATATTTACTGTACAGACCTTTTGTGGATCTTTTTCTGGCTCTGCCATATATAGGTACATTGTAATACACTTTGTATTACATGTACACTGAATCGTGACTAATCAGGGGTCAATTTAATAAAACTTTTATAATTGTAATTTACAAGACAGTGTAGCTCTTGTTTTCAGACTCTAAAACAGCGGCTACACTTGTTAATTACACTTGTAAAAGTTTTATTAAATTGACCCCACTACAAGTTGCATAATTACATGCACATGTACTGACATTACTGGGTGAAGCACGTTGAATTTTCTTTTTAGCTTCTACCAGTCTGCAGGTCATGGGAAGATTATTTATGGGCATTTTACAGAGTTATGGTTGATGTTAGAGTCGAACAGGTAAGTGTTAAAAATAAAATAGCAACTGAATAATGTAAAAGAGGATTTGGCTTAAGGAATTGAATCCAAAATAGTTCCTTTATATTTTAGGGTTGGGTTTCTGCAAGTATGTGGTGAACGCATGTTGACTTTAAAGTTGAAACACTGCTGTTTACCCTTTTGTGTAATTGTTATTGTTGTTGTTTTTTAGAATAATTAGCAACAAAAGTGATCATGTGAATTATTTATTAGATAATCGCGATGTTACAATGCGGCAAAATATCTTGTTTTAATTTCATCCTTCACTATTTTCACATAGACCATAATGCACTTTGTTTACCCCCCAGAAGTTTGCATAACCATTCTCCTGGGTATAACAGTCGTCCCAAGGTGCTTTATGGTTTACGTGAAAATGGTTAATTCGTATTCTTTATATATGCATATATGTATCTTAGTGCTAGCTTTTTGCAATAATAAATTCTTTTAATTTTTATTACGTGATTGTAAATAATTTTGTACATAGTTTCATTTGAGATTTCTTGAAGTGGTATAATAAAGTTATCTTATCATATCTTATCTTTTTTTTAAAAGGAAATTCGCCTTCATCCTAGACCTGACAGAGACTTGGCAAACTTGTCACCTAAATTCTGGGATCAAACGTAAGTGAAACTATATAACTGGTAAAATGGTACGTAATGGTACCAGAATTGTTCATTGACACAAAAAATTTATGTATGATATATGTCTCTTCATAGGCTCAATCCTGAGAAAATATTCGAAGAACTTAAGGCTTGTCCAAAAGAGGTATGTCTACTGAACCAGGGTGCAAAGAAAGTCAATTTTACAGCTTTCCCGAAGGGCAAGCTGTAACTAACATCTACTAGCCCGAAATTCATTTTTACTAGCCCGAAAAGTTTTTTTCGCGAGCAGAATGAAAATACTCAATCTTCTGTAACGCTTTGAGTTCAACGCAATATTCACTCCCGATGTCTTCAACTAGTTTGATCTAGTTTTGCTGTTTTGCTTTCGGCGCTGCCACACTGTTGAATTTTCTCTTAGTCCACCACAACACGTGAATAATTAACATGCATTTTAGACATTCTACAATTTAGAAAAACATTTTTTAAGAAAAAAACGACGTTGAAACCGTGAAACCAAAGTTCTCAATGGACACACTAAACGACAACGTAGACAACGCGAAAAGCTGCCAGTGACAGCACTTCATTCTGCAATTTGCCGCGCAGAATGAAGTGCTGTCATCATTCTTTGCACGCTGTGAACTGAAACGTGGTTTGGTTGGCTGGTTCGATTGTACATGACAGAACGACTTCATCGTGAATATCATTATGATCCGATGAAGATCAAAAACCTTGTATTTCACTAATCTTCACTAGTATAGTCATGATTGATTACCTTCAGGCAGAAGTGGTCTATCTCAAATGTGGGATCGTTTTCTTTCCCTTGATTTACGCTTCGGTTTTGGAGAACTGCAACGAGGGCACAAAAGTTGCTTCTGAGACAACAGAAGAATCATATACATTGTATATCAAAACATTTGTTTCTGGATGCATTGAGTCAGTGTTCTTCCTAAATTTTAGCTCAGCGATCAAGGGACCATTCATAGCTGGTAAGGAAAAAATATGCACCAGAGGTGCACTTTCCTGGGGGCAGGGGGGTAGTGGAGTGCGGGACATGGCCCCGCCCTTGCTGGAAAATTTAAGAGCTAAGTTCTCTGAAACGTCATTCCCTCATTTTAAGACCTATTTTACGCAAATCAGCCGTCCATACATTCAGTTATGTGAGAATCGGATCGGATCGGATCACAACTTGTGTTTTTTTTTTAAGTACTTCTTTAATTTTAGTAAACCTTCAGGCCGTTGCTATTTTACCGGTTACCGCCTGATAAGGAGAACACTGTCAGAGTGCAAGGAAGTAAACTTTTCTCCAGTTCCGACCTGTTTTCCAAACCGTGCTGCGTTATCACTTTTGGGCCTTTCACTAGTAATCAGCAACAGAAAACAGCTCTGGGCAACGGTTTTTCTTTTTTTGCAAGAATGCACATGTTAGGTTATGTTAAAAATTCAAGCAATTTCGAGGCAGTTTGAAAAACGGTCCATAACTTGCCATATATGTAGGCTCATTCTTTACACAGGCATTAACTATTTGATCATGAATTTTTATGATCCATTAGTCCATCAGACAGCAAGCGGAGGAATTCCATCATGTCATACAGAGACACATCATACTTAACGACACAAATTGTAAGTTTTAGTAGATGAAGTCAAGCTTCAAGCCTATTGTAGGTGAAGTGTTGCTGTATGGTGAAGTGTTTCTGTATGGTGATAAATGCCTTTTTCTGTTTGTTTTACTCAGCTTTAATAGAAAAGATGCACAGTTGGCTGGAAAAGGAAAAGAAACCAATAACGCAAATATTACGATTCATGGCAAGTTAACCACATGTTTGTAATAAATTTATCGTGATGCTGCTTGGAATACAGTAACCCCTTCCTTTTTTTTTTCATTTCATTAGGGGATCGACTGGTCCTCCCATATCATCCACGTCCTTACCTTTCTCCTCTTTTGGACAAAGTCTACTATTTTGATGATATGATCTTTACTATTTGCCACTTTAAAAATGAGAGGGAAACTGGGCCAATTTAACTTTCGCAAAGACTTCTGGGACTTTTTTAGAGGCGGGAAAAATTGGCCAGTAGCTGACCGTTGCGTCCCCAGTAACGATTCCAGAAACAATTGTGGGACGTATTTCGGCTCCAGTTCCCTTCTGGTTTCTAAAGTGGCGGAAGGATACTTTTGTCGTTAAAGTCGCAAAATTCTCTTCGTGTCATACTGACTGATTCATTTAAAGAGGATTTAGAATCGTTACCCATGTACTTAGGGTCCACCACAAGTGGTGATCAGATTGTATTTGGAGCCGGCAAACAAAACTTTTAATCTTTCTGTGATGTTTGTTTAGGCTCATCTTGTTTTGTTCCTGAGATCAGCTGGAATTGAATCTGAGGTGAGTGGCTTTCCATACTGTACGAAAAATGAGTGCAATACAAAGGTTTTACAGCGCAAAGGCCTAGGTAGTCTCCTTCACAGCCGCTCGGGCTGCAGGAGTCACGGGCGGGGAGCATTGCGTGACTCCGGCCCGAGCGGCTGCGAAGGAGACTAAGGCCTAGGTTGCTCGCCTGCAGAAGCATTGCGGTCTTAAAGCTCTGAATATATCTTTTATTACATTCTCCGTCCACCTGTCCATGGTGGCCTTGTTTTATGAGAAAGGCTAAAGCAACGGCAATGAGTATTGAGGATTTGAGGTCCTGCCCTCCTATCTTAGGTTAAACACTTATAACGCTACAAGGACGTTAGGATCATCTAGTCAAATTGTGTTGTAGGTGCCATTAGAATCAGGTACCTTCCAAGACAGCACTGCCATTGTTTTCAATGCGCTACCACACCATATCAGGAACTCCACAGAATTTAGTCATTTCAAGAGTCAGTAGGCAAATCACCTTAAAACTAAGGAGAGGGCAAGGCTGCGTTCTTAGTGACCATTAGTTTTTCTTGAATTTTGGAACTTATCGTTCTATTATCATTTCACTGTCCATAGTTTTTCTTTTCATTAGTTTTTCCTGAATTTTTGAACTTATCTTTTTCTTAGCATTTTCCTGTTCATAGTTTTGTAGTAATGATAATTTATAAACAATTGATGAGTAGTTTAGTAGGTTAGGTAGTGTAGTAGTTAGTCACAGATGAAGAGCCATATTTTTAGTCTATGGATATACTGTTAATAAACCATTATTATTATTAGGTGGCTCATTTCTTTCCCTTTCCTCGCAACAACGGTATGAACTTGTGGAGGACATGAACACACGATCAGGATTCTTATTTCTCCTTTTGAGCTCGGCTGCGACAATTCATCTCCAGGAATGTGCGTAGAATGTTGTTTTTATTTAATACCTTGGCGTTGTCTTGCAGACCGATCCTGAGCTGTGTGTGTCTATACTGAAGGCATATGTTCAGGTATGGACGTAACGATTTTTATCGCTTTAAAGGAAAGCTTCACAAATGAATTATTCAAAGTCATTGTAAGAGACTTCAAACTGATCATTTGGGGTGCATAGTCAAAATATAATTGCAATTCTTAATTTTTTCAGGCCCTAATTGACGAGAAACAGATTGACCTTGTGGCAACTTACACGGCCACTCTTCCCCCAGAGATTCAAACACAGACTTATGCTTACTTCTTGGAAGGTAACTCATAACTTTATTAACCCCAAAAATCATTCTTTGTTTGCTGTTTTCTGTTGTTTTGTTTTTAAACAATTTGTAGGTTTATCAATTCTGTCCTGTTGAATTGCAAATTTTACTCGAAAAGTAAATCTATATGATTTTTTTTTCTCAGACATTGTGGACATGAAGCAAAGACAAAAATGCTTGGACCTAGCGAGGAATGCCGGTTCGTATTTTTCCTTTGTTTGTATGGCAAGGTTACCGTAGAACTGCAGCATTTTATGGACGACGTGAACAGAGAACAATGAATTTAGTTCATTTTTCTCTCTGAACTTGGATCCGAATTAATTAAGAGTTCAACCCCAAGAAAATTCGCCTTACATTTGACAAACTGAGTGGGCTAAATAAAAGCGATGAAGTCGCTCGTCGTCGTTTTTGCTTAAACTACCTTATATTTGTCCGTTAAACTCGTTAGAGTGGGCATCGTGTAATTTCAACTTAAAATATTACTGCTGAACCAGTCAGACAGTCATGAGAATAAAAGAAGTGCTGACCATGGACCAAGAACTCTTGTTTGTTAAGTAAATTCTCTTCAGTCATCGTTAACACAGCTTGGAGAATTCCGCGCATGCTGATATTAGGGTTTAAAGTGTTAATGAGGAGCTTTGACTTCTTAATCCTGATTTTATCCAGGTCTTGACGTTCCGCTGATAACCAAGACTGTAGTGGAGAATATCCGAGGAAAGGTAGGATATTTTTTAATCTCTCGCGCGTGGAGGGTAGCGCATGGTATTGGCTAGGCTAGAGTGATCTGAATATTACCCTAGACTTAAAATGACGATGATGATGATGATCTGAATACTGTCGACAATGCAAACTCCGTAAGCGTTGCACTGTATTTCATATATATTTATATCCTAGTTATGAAATGATTTCGTATGGTTGAAATACTTGATTTTTCTTTGAATGCACGCGTACTGCTTTAGAAACTTTGAATCTTTGCTAAATATTCATCTTTTGAACGTTCTCTTAGTGACGCCTTTATTCTCCGATGTGCCAGCCGCCGGAAAGGGTATATTTACTATCTGTTCTACTTTCTCTTTTTCCTGTTTATAGGAAGACTTCAAAATTGACCGAGATATTTCGCCTGCTTTGGAAGCTGCCACCTCAAACGTAGGTCGAGGACTAAACCCTATTTACAACCTCGTTCCCAGACTCTCTCTCCTTGTTCTCCCTTGTTGTCGAGTAGAGAGACCTGTCCCTCGACTCGTCGACGCAGTTGTCCCTTTCGTAAATGGTCGCTGCCTTTTTCAAGACACTTAGAAAATTTTGCCTGTTATTGAGAGTGTTTCTATTTTTAAAAAAAGAAAATCGCAACGCAGGGTCAAACCCGGTCGTTTCGTATCCTAATCTCTCTCCCTTACCACCACACTACCACACCGACCCCCAAAATTCTGAAAAATTTAACTACATAACCTCGCAAACTGCCTTTCTTAACTGTTATATCAATAACTGGTGACCTTAGCCCTTTCCTTAACTGTTGATGAAAATTCAACCTGGGCTTCAACGTCGTTCTTTCTAACACTATTCAAAAACGTTTTATTTGCCTTATTGTAACTTAACCCACCCAGTGGTGGCATTGACCGTTAAAAACGGCGAAGACCGTTTACGAAAGGGAAACAGGCCTCCACGACACTCAATAACAAGAGAGAAAAAGAAGAGAGAACCTGGAATCATATCACCTAGAAGAGCCCTGTGAATAGTTAATGCCGAATGATACCAAATAAGACAATCACTGCAGAGTTGATTGTTAGCTATAAAGAGTACAGTTGGTGACGGGGTTCCCCTTGATGGTAGAAATATTTTCTTCTCCAGGAGGATCGGAAGAAGATAGAAGCCATTGAGTGGTTGGTGTTTGATCCTTCCCAGCGAAGTGAAGCCCTGAAACAGAGCAACGCCATCATGCGCTGCTTTATCGGTAAGTTTATCAACATACAATTTCTTCTGTATCCTCGCTATGGTGCTCATTAGGTTTATATGCTGACAAGGGAATAACTGCCCACCGTAAGCAGTGCTTTGTGCTCTTACCCTACTATCAGACCTGACGGTGATCAGTTTCATATTTATGAGTCCTCACATGTTGTATATGTTGTTGCTGCACACACTGAGTTCGTGTATTTATCTTAAGTCAACAAGACGCTGTCGCTACGTATTTTGGACTTCGCTATCTGCTCAAGGCCTTTTTTCATTCCTTTGAGCGACAGTTCGTACGCACTTTTAGGTTACTTAGCTACTTCGTGAGTAGACAAATAAGGAGTTAAACGTCGAACGTGCTTTTGCACTATGCCCCCTACACACTTCGTTTTTGTTTTAAAAAATGCTATGAGGTCTTCGTGGTGTCTTTAATTCTGAGTGTCCAGTTTCATGGTGTTGTTATTGTTCTGTGCAGCTACCAGGAAGCACCCTGCAGCCCGCGAAGTTTTTCAAAAGATTCCAGCGGACTCTGTTCACGTGATTCACAAAGAGTGGCAACTAAGGGTGAGTACTATTAATCAATAGGCCAATTACACGATGACATCATTTTTCTACTACGACCAGAATCCTTCAGAGTTTTGCTGTCTTCTTTTTCTCTCTTGTTCAGAGTTTTGTTTTCTAATCCCGGGAGTTCCAAATGACGCCATCGTGCAAATGGCCTATTACTTGAGATATCAGTTTTGTTGTTTTTATAAACGAGTTCTCAACGATCAAACGTTTTGATCTGGCGTCTTTCGGGCACACCTCTTTTAGGGGTGGCTAAACGCTTTCAAAAATATTGTTTATTAAAAAAACTTATTGAACCCCTGATTCGTCGTTAGAACCAATGATGCAATATTTCAACCTAAAGTTGGCCTAGCTCCTTTTTTTCGCTAAAATTTCTACCCAGATTAGGTAGTGCAATCCTGGACATAGGTGCCTATTCCTTTAGGTAAAGGAAAATAGTAATTTAGACGCTGTTAATTTAGAAATGCTTCTTTACCTAACTAAGAACTCTGCGGAGAAGACCTTTTTTCTTTACCCTTTTCTTTCTTACTCGTTTAAGAAAGGAAGTCTTGTTGGTTGAAAGGTGTTGAGACTGTTGAGTGAGGTCGCATCACTGGTGAGGCAGAAGATGTTGCATAGAAAAAAAAAGACGTTTGAAAGATAGAAAAGGTCGTGGCTAAAAGGGATTGTTTTGTTATCAGAAACGTTCGTTAATAAAATGTTTGCTCATTTAGTCAAGCTTGAGGGCAAGAAGCTTAAACTCCTTCTTTGGCTTTGACAGGACAAGGGTCGTGTATAAATCTTGTTCAAACGCCTTTAGAACGTTGCTCATTTAAGCCATTTTCGTTAACATCTCGTAATTATGTTATTTAGGTTTATATTGTAAGTTATGGCTATTAGTTAACCTAGCCCTCGAGAATCGGGATTCAGGGCAGTCTCGGCTTTCCATGTTGGATTTCCTATTCAGATCTTATGTTTTAAAATCTCTGTTTTCAGGGTGGTGCCAGTGCTTTACCCGCTGGTGATGATAACGCTATAAGAGAGTACTTGTGTATTAGAGCTTATTTGGTGAGTTGTCAGCCCAGCCATCTGTCTATTTTATCATATTCAGCTGGATTAAGTACCCTTTATTCTCTCATTTTGAAGTAATTTGTGGTTCCTGTAATCTCATTGGCTCTCGTTAGCAATGATTTTGTTACAAATAGTTATGGTGAGTCCTGGGAATCATCTTGTGAACAAATCACGAGTCCCAGTTAAAAGGACCCATTAGGTTGGAAATTTAAATGCTTGGGCCTTTATGTAACCAGACAGTTAATCGGAAGACAGACTCCAAAACTCTGTATTACAGTATACTGAATTAAAATATACCGGTAGTTCTTCTATTTTAAAGCACAACAAAGGCTAAAGGAAATATGCATCGTTAAACAAGAGCGATAATAACTGCCACAGAAATTAAGCGAACGGGATATTTCTACTATTATTAATACCACTACATGAGAAATTTCTGCAATTTGATTGGCTTAGAGCAGTGGTATTTCAGCTTAATTTGAAATACCTACATGTGAAAATTACAAACCTTTTGCGGGTAGTGGTATAAACAAATAATAGAAGGAGGTGTAGTGATATTTGGCATAAATACCACTCGGGATATTTCAAAATTGTCTCAAATTTCACTCGCCTAACGGCTCGTGAAATTACGTATAACAATTTCGAAATATCACTCGTGGTATTTATGCCAAATATCACTACAAATCATGCTATTACCAATACGTACACACACATGTTCAGTCTTCAGATCGATCGATCGGTCTTTGCGTCCTACGGGACGCATGCCTTGAATTATTTTTCTGTTTTGGGGGTTTTTACGCCTCAGGGACGTAGGAAGTGGAGGTAACAAAATCACTGCATTAGTGTGAGTTATAAACGAATCGAACCATTTTTTTGGGCTTTATATCGCATCAATACTCTTCTAAATTGCACTCCACTTAGACCGTAATGAATTTGCTACCGATAGGGTTTATAAGGATAAAAACGGTCAAAGAGACAATATTAACAAGTAAAGCGTCTTGCGGCTTCACACTTCTGTGTTTTACTGTGTCTTGTGCGCATTTTTTTGTCGTGTTGTGTTGTGATGTTGTTTTTATTGTTGTCACAGTCATTTTACGTGGCGTAACCAATGACTATAAAGTATATTTTAGGTGATGCACAGTCTGTTACCTTTAAGCGATTTTAAGTAATTTTGAGAAGTTTTTTATTCAAGCATTTGTAGCTGATATAGTTTGATGGATTCTTGACTAATTGTCCTGTTTGCAGGAAGCACTGGATGCATTCAATGATTGGTTTCAACATTTTCTCCACAGTGTACCAGTAAGTGGAACAAAATTAAGAGAATGACTTTAACTAACATTGATCCTCTAATCTCCACTTCAGAAACTCCAGGGAGAATGGGTCCAAGGTTTAAGCGCAGTGATTTCTGAGATCGTTCGGGTGGATTTTTCAACCATTAACCAACATTATTATTCATTCAAAATATTTTCCCGATTCTGATTGGCTAAAAGCACACGTTTAATTCACCATAACCAGTTACTGATGACCAAATTTGGAAGAATTTTGTGTTTAACGAGGAAATGGCGTCAAAAATGCAGCGTTTTCTCAGGTTAAGGCACCGTTAACCGAGAAGACCTGGGGACGAGGTTGAGTTGTTTTGCTTGTGAACTTGAAAAATGGCGGACATTTCACTCGTTTCAAGAGTAAGAACTAGGCGAAAAAATATCTAAAAACATGGCAAGAACAGCAAGAAGACAACTCGAAGGGCGACATCTGCTATTTGGAGAATATTTGCTGAGCTGCACAAACCTAAACGTGCACTATCGAAGATGAACTTAACATCGGTGGATCGATGGAGGTAAGCATGTTTTAGCCATGGTTTTAAACTAGGAATTATTTTGAATGAATAATAAAACAATTATTGAATTCGGCTTTCGTATCATATGAAGAATTATGGAGATCTCGGAAGGTGTTATACGGCCTCGACGGATAACACCCTCCTCTCCTCGATCTCCATAATTCTTCATAAGATACTCAGCCTCATTCATTAATTGTTAAATGAACAACGCTTGTCCATCCAAACGATTCCAGAAGTCGTTGCGCCGAAAGCTTGTGCCTATTCCTCTTATAGTTTCTGGAGTGGAGAATACCCGCCGGCCTTTCTATACCAGTAAAAGGTACGGTTTAATATTCTTCAGTTTTAACTATTTGTTTGTTTGTTTGTTTATTTTAGTTAAAGCCACGCCACGAAGCTCATGCTAACTTCACGGAAAAGGTGGCATTTGAACAGCGACTTAAGCAGTATGAGGTAACTAAGCTTCTCTTCCTCACATGTCAATAAATCATTTCTTAGACCAATCAAAATTGGCCCGAATTTCACCATTTACTGACGGGTCAACTATGAAACTTTTCGGCCTGTTGCCTCTTTTCAGTGTGAATGGCGGATAACGTCATGTATAACGAGTTATCATTTAGCTTTACGTTGTCTGAATGTTTTAAAACTGGAATCTGTTTCCCATTTCTCTTAGGTTGAGTTTGGAAGATGGAAGAACTCACTGGATATTCATACAAAGGTCGGTAATTGTAGTGTAAACACACTCTGGTAGTTTTGTTTTGTTTCATGTATGTTCATTATTTTGTAGCAAAAAAATGAGAGGTTCGAAGGGTAAAGTTTGCAAGGGTTTTGTCTGGGTTGGGAGTGGGGAGGGAGATAATTGTCTTCTTTCAAGAGAATTTCTTGTATATCACCGTCTTTCATCATGTTGAGGTAGCGGGAGACTTATTCTAAACTGCTGTACTTTAACCCATACGGATTCCCAGTTCATACCTCATGAGTGCTGTTGAAGTGACGTCATCCAGAAATTTTGCTACCATGGCAACTTGACGTAACGACTTCTCTCTATAGCCTGAAAAATTAACCAACCACCGCTCTAGGTTCGGTGGTTGTTACGACCCACTCCAGTTAAGCATTGATACTATAGAATTCGAAAGCATTCTGGAGGGAGTGTGTCACCGCCTTATGTATGCACCAATTAATTTATCGTCAGGTGGTAAATGAAATGTTTATGTTTCACTCCAGTCCCTCCGGGGTCGCCCGCTATCGTTTAGAAACCTCCCCTTAATTCAACTCTCAAATAGAATACCTCTATCATATATGCTTTTTAGGCTACAGTTGAGAAGATTTATAATGTCCTTTTGTTCCCTGACGGAGGATGGATGGTAGACCAGAGGCCGGTAAGCGTATACTCCCAGTCAGCCAAACACAAAGGGCCAGTTATTTAAACCGGGCTGAGCCAGTGTTTAACAAAACCGCGGTCTAAGCCATTTTCAGGTTGCCGAACGCTGTTATCTCAACACCATTTATCGTGAAAAGGTTGATGAGAGCGTAAGGCGTAGACTGCGCACATGCTATTCTGTGGTGGATTGTGCGTGGCTGAGACAAAAGGCGACTTTAAGATGTACTACATGGATTTCTTAGCTTTTTCCGTTATTTACGTAGTCTGCTAATTTTCATGCATGATAAATAAACTAAAAGTAGGTGGAAGGTAGTATCAAAAGTATCGACGGCCTAGTTCGTATAATTTAGTTGTTAGAATTGTCATTTTTGTAATTGATATCATTAGTATGGACGCATTTTTCAAAAAAAAGAAAAACCTTAAAATGCCTTTCTGTGCTTTGAAAGAAGTCTTTTATGACAATCAGCGTGCAAAGAAAGTAGTGTTCGATAGCCCGAGGCTAGTGGATTTTGCTATCGGGCTAGTGAATTCTGTTTTTAACTTGCCCGACGGGCAAGTGATGTTTTATGAGGAATTTGAATAACAGAAGAACAAAACGTTTTTGGGGCTAGTTGAAATGACGTCTGGGCTAGTAAATGCTAGCTTCAGCTTGCCCGAATGGCAAGCTGTAAAAATGATTTTCTTTGCACCCTGGACAATTGCATTTATTTATGCTCTGTATGGTTTGAACTGATGAGGCTGGTGCATGCAGGGGATCTAGTCAAGTTAACCATGTAAGCTAACAGGGACTCGTGTCCGATTTCTCCCTATAGTATGACTGGCCAATCAAAACAACGGTTATGAGAACAAAGAAAATGATCAATTAGTAAAAAAGGTCTTAATTGTTAAACAAATTCTCCTCAGAAACCTCATAAGAGTAGTGTAGAGAATATGGAAGTTGATATTAGGACTTGATGGATTAAAGTGTTAAAGCCGGGGTGTGTTTGTATTCCGACAGGAAGAGGACGAGGTGGAGGGGTCGAGCCGTAGTCATCAGCTCGAACTGTTAAGACAACTTTGTCTTCCGCTGATATGTGTTTTGCTTCATAACGTGTTACACTCCACGGAACAATACAAACAGGTTAGTTCATCCTTTCTTCCACCTGCCGCATCGCCGTCGAACGTCCCTTAAGCGTTCACCAAAAATGCAAAGGATTTGTTAGTCTCTTGCAAGAGTAGAGCCACAGACCCTAGCCCTTCGTCTAAGCGAATCAAGGGATCGTGGGTTGTGTTTGGTATGATATCGGGGATTAGAGCTATGTTATTGGTGGGAACATGGTCACGTGAAAAACAAGAATAAAGTAATGAAAAGTGTTCATTCATCGCGTGGGGTTTAAGAGTACGACGATAGGGACCGTTAAAAAGCAAAAAGATTTTAAAACCAAAACAACTCTGCACGGGCATCACACATCACACGGCAACGACTTGAAATAAACACAAGAAGACGATATCATTTCTCTTTTTATTATGTTGGATATGGTCCTGAGGAATGCAACTATACTAAAAAAATTTGTCTTCATCTCACCGTCTTGGTTGCTTAAGCTCCGTACAGTCGAATTCGCACCGATAGGAGCCTTTAGACCATACGTCAAATGTTCGCTTACGGGAGGTTTAAAACAATGGGAAAAGTTGAATGATTGCCTGCAAAGGTGCTTTGACCAGCAAATTCTTGGCATTTTATAGAGGTGGTCGTACATTTAGGTTTCCCCTGTATGGTTGTCTTTCGTGAAAACTTTTGTGGAATATATCTTGTGACCAGAGTAACTCTGGTGCTTACATACTCTCATTACTGTCGTTTTTAATCATTGTGAAGCTGCAATAGTTAGCGGTAGCGACGTCTACCACTCCTTTTTTTCTTACGTAGTTTTGTAATTTTTGTTGCAGTGTTTGCAGTTAGCGGATGTTATCTCCTCTGAACAGTATCAGCTTTACAAGGTATCTGTCTACTCTTCCTAGGTCCACCATATTTTGAGGTTACAAGTCTTAAAATGTTGACCACGCTTTGTTTTCTACTTGTCTTGTCCTATGGTCGCTTTGCATGCAAGACGACCGTTATCAAGCCGATCGTGATGCTCTACGCTCGGCTAATTAACGCCTTTCCCGAAGGTAACTTTACAGGCGAAGGGTTGCTTCCTTTGGAGACTGTTATGTCGCGAAAATTTGACGTCGCTAACTTAGTTTATGATAAAAGTTGGCAGACCGTAACTGAAGAGATTCCGGCGAAAGAGAACGTCTTGACCGTGTCCTCCTGAATCTACCTATTCGGTCGTTGCACGCTTGTGCCCAGTTCGTCAATTTTCTCGTCAAAAACGGTTACCGAGTGAATTGCGGATACTTTGGGCCTCGGATGCTGTTGTCGTTTTGTTTTGGTTCACTGGATCTGCGTAAGGATAAGCGCGTGCGCCAGGATTCCTCGTGCACGTGTCCCGAAGTGCACTAAGTAAGAGTTTCATCAGCCTTAGCATTTTCTCTTAAGCTTGGGGTTCTTCTCTTAGGCTTTTCTCCCTCCTTCTTTCCACTGTTTATCAATTCGACGTGTCTTCTCTCTTTCTCTCCCATGTGGGAGCTCATGGCTGTGTTGCCAGGATTTGTCAGCCATGGAAACTGGTCTTTATTTATGAGCTTATTACCAAGAGTGGAAGCTCCCCGATGTCTTGTGATGCCGTTGTTAAGCTTTGATTTTTGCCCAAACCGCATATAACTATTTACCTACTCGCAAGTGGCATGAAGTGAACTCTTAATAGCTATTTAAATAAAGTTGGAGTTGACATCGTTTGTAAAGCGCTATACTCCGCCCTCTCACAGGTGTTCAGGAAAGACGAGCTACAGAAGATGCTTTCACTATTCCGCGACACCTCGCTAGCTTTGCTGGGAAGTAATCTGGATCCCCTGGGTTACGACATGACCCAAAAGTCTTGATATCACAACACAAGATCGGTTTTGAACCGTGCGAACGTACATAACTCATTGCCAAGGTCATATCTATCAGCTCAAACGTTGGCTTGACGAAGTGATCACACTGAAGCCATGAACAGCAGGGTTTTTGAAGCCGAATTTCACAATATCTTGGATTGGTTACCTATCACTTCCTTGTTGAAATTTTTTCAAGAGTGGTCTTTTAAAAGGTCACCTGATGTCTGTGAAGGGCTACTGGAGATCGTGAACAACTTACCGAATGTTACAACTGTTCGGTAAAATGTACTAAACCTTTTTCATTTAAGTCAAGAACTCGTGAATAAAACGAGACTTAGCGCTCACGATGTAATAAGACGTTTGTAGTTTGTATACTTTAGTACAGGAAATTAACGCGAAATAGAGGGTAAAATTTAAAAATAAAGGAAATCAACGCGACGTTTACAAAGAAAAAAATACTTGTCGACAAAAACAGGAACAAAGTTAAACGTATTCGAAATGAAAACTTTTTTTTTTCGTACTTTCCCTAAACGTAGGAAGGAGGTCAAGTAAAGAAATCTGGCCATGACCAGGGTTCTGGAGTTTCACTGTTACTGGCGGATCTCCACCGTGATAAAATACTCCTCTTTCTTAGCTGGAAAGAAGTGTATCGAGAATTTTGGGCCAAAATAATGGAAATTAAGGTCGCGGAAATTAACATCCACAAAAAAAATCGTGTTAATTTCATGGAGCTTTAATTTACAACAATAAGGTACTTTATTTTAATTTCTGGCAAATAAGCGTGTTCCTTTACTTTGAAAAGCGTGGCTGTATTAGCAAACAAACAGTACAGTGGCAAGTCTTTGCATCGTGAAAATGAAATCTTTATTCTATTAAGTTGTTTGTCCGCGGCCAGCCCCTTGTACCTTAATGTATTCGGTCCGTAATTTAATCCACACCTACATGAGAAGTTTTCCATAACAAGTTCGAGAAAAACCCGTCTTTTCTTTGTACATAGAAAGCCTGTCCGGTTTGTTCCCCATTTACACGAGCAAGATGTTCGAGCGAGATGTTCCCGTGAGAATTGTCTAACCTTTCAAAGACCAGAAATCAGCGAACGCGGTTAAAGACACCAACTCAGTGACTTCAGTCGAAAGATTGATGCTAATGTTCAGCCTGTTTATACAAGTCAGAAGATCAAAGGGCAATTCAAACTAAAGGAACGTAAACTTCCAATTGTGAATCAAAAAAACGTTGTTTATTATTTCAAGTGTGGTCTGTGCGGTGGAGACTGGCTTCACTAGTCGACACTTACATCAACATGTGCAGGAACACAAGCGATCAACAATCGGCAACCACGTAAAGGATGCGCATAGAAAGGATCCGGAGACCATCCAGACACCATTCAGACACCATTACCAGTGCCGAATCCAGACATTGAGATAAGGGAGGGGCCCGGTCTCCCCCAAAAATGTTTTTGGCCCTTCGGGCCTCAGTTTGGTCCAAAAATAAGGGGGGGGGGGACGGCCACCCCGGCCCCTTTCCCCTGGATCCGCCACTAATTACAAGCATTTCAAAATCTTAAAAAAGTGTCAGAGCAAACTCGACTGTTTGATTTTTGAAATGCTTTGACTCGATCCCCGCGAAGCTATTTTATTTCACTTTAAATATCTTTTATTGTCTTATCGTTTTTATCGCCTTAGCGTTTCTTTTATCATTCGCGTATTGTTTCCATGTAAATATTTTAGAGTTTTTAGTCAGTATCTCATTAGCCTTTTCACAGTTATATATAAGTACATGCTAATTTTTTACTTCTCAAGTTGAAAATGACCGTCGAACGGTCGAAACGTCGTCAATTTTTATAGTGAAAGCTGGTCCTAAAACGTGCTATTTTTTCCCAAAGTAAGCATGCTACGAAGACTTGAGCAATTTTATGAGGGCGTCGAAAGATTCCCTTAGTACAAAACCTTATCGATCGTTTCTGACGCGCCCAGTGTATGGTGGGATTTTCTTGAGATACCAGTGTACTTTATTGAGTTTTTTACATTTGGACTGAAAGAATGTGTTTTGGCCAGGCTCCAAAGCAGCCGACGTTGATCTTCACATTAATTACTTATTAATCATATTTAGATGCTGATTAGCATATCTCTTGTTACTGTATTGTCTCCCTTTAACCTGCCTGGCCAGTGGCTATAAACAATATTTTAAGAAAAAACAACTCGCGATGCATGAACCAGCAGGGGACCCACTGATGTTCTGCAGGTCAAACCCGTTCTAGTTCTATCTGTGTCGATTTAGGCGGACACAGGTATTCAACGAACATTCGTTATCCATTAATATTTCGTTTGCATATATGTGTGGGTAATAAAACGTAGATGTGCATGCATTCTAAGGCCTGTCTCTCATGATATCCAAAGTAATTGAAAAGGCGGTCTTAGCCTCAGGCGGCGGCTTTTGGAGGTAACGTGCAGCCCATATCGACCGTGCATCTATTCTAATAATTGTCATCATCAATCAATACATGTTATCTGCCCGAGCGGGTGGTCTTTGTTTCGGGTGTGAACAATATGAGCTGAAACGTAGCGCTTTTGCCAGAGGCTGTAGAGTGGGCGTAACTTGCTAGTACAACAGGTCTTCTTGCTCGGATAATTACATCCGACTCTACTTCGACTGCTTTTGCGAAGTTTTCTTAAGGTAAATGAACATACTAGAAAAATTCAAGCGTTTCTATTTGTAAGAAGATTGAACACCTTCTTGTTAAATACCTTCGCGGTCCGTTTGCTTTTATTATTAAAGTGTTTTTAGCCTTCTAATTATAACATAACCTTCTTTAAATTGTTGATAAAATCTTTTACGTTGTTATTTTACCTTTGTTCATTTCGCTGCTACAATATAATTAATATGCGATGGACTTCGACGGCCACTATGCATTTCTAACTCGTAGAGTATTCCGCCGGTTTTTGTTGACATTGGTAATACTCTTGATTTAGACTCTTCGGCATTTCAAGTTTTAATTATTTCCAGTCGTCCTTACTAATTTGTTAAAGTTTCTTTATATGAACCAATTTGTTCTCAGCAAGCTCTTCAGCTTATCTGTACAAATAATTTGTCTTGAGTTAAATAAAAGTCATAAATTATCACTGCTCTCATGAAGCTTGATTCACAGCGGGAAAGTCTACACGAACTCTGATCCAGACGTTGTTATTTGGGGTTATTTCTACTCCGTTTCATTGTGAAACCATTTTTTGCATCCAAGTCAGCGATGTTTTTGATACGCGGCTTTATCGTGCGACTTAATTTTTGTACGTTTTTCCTTTTTATAACATTCTGCAGAACTTAGACATTTGGCTTGAAAATTCTTGAAAGACCTAAAAAATTATAGAAAAATTTGCGCTTTTAGTGTTTTTGCCCTTAGGTTATTGACAGTTCTTATGGTAAACGAGAAAGTTAATAATAAAGTTAACAATACTTTTTGCTAAATTTTCGAGACATTTTGCGTTGTTACATTTCCTCTTTGTGTTTTCGCTCTTTATTTACAACGTCCTTAAAAAAAGTTTTTCAAAAGTTTCAAACATGTTAATAACAATAGAAATTCTCGTGCTGAAGTCAAGCACCTATCTGTATAGGCAGTGTTTAAAGATTATCTCTTCCTACTTTTCCCGGTGATGTTTATCTTTCTATCAGCAAATTCATTGTTTTAGAACTACGCTCGTGTCCATGAGCCGCTTGCAAAAAACGAAGCGAACTTAACTTGCGGTTTGAGACAATTGTTAGATCTCCAGTATTGCTATGAAGTTGATTACCGACTTTCCAGTCCGCGCTTGATACGTTCTTCATTGATATTGTTTCCGGTTAACAATGTTTAGACGGGCCAAATTGGAAATAACTCAAACACAGTTTTGTTTGTCAACCGTTTTACTCGTTTAAGCAACCGGCTCTTAAGTGTAAGGATCAGGTTTTCTATAAATATTAAATTATTTGACCGACGGCATTCAGATGCAAAATCAATCTTTAGATAACACTGTTGGCAATCTCATAACGCATCTTTAAGAGGCAAGTTCTCATTAACATCCTCGATCGCCCCTCCGTTAGAAATCATAGGTCCGTTTGTGTCGGATGACAATTCGCGCCCTGCCTGCGTTATGGCGTGTGTTTCGGCCATGCTCATCCACGTTGTGCCCAAAGCAGGGTCTCTGTTGTCTCTCATAATTTTGGACCGGCATCGACGAAACAGTTTCCTGAAAGCGTTTCGGTAGGTTCGGTTTAAGCACGTGTAGATAATTGGGTTCAGACAACTATTCAAATATTCGAGCCATTTTGCTATGTTGAAGAAAGTGGTTGGTAGAGGAGCTAAGGCAGGGCTTGCCCATGATAGCACAACCATGAAAAACGGAAGCCAGCAGATGACAAAACTTCCTATTACCACTGCGATTGTCTTAGCGGCTTTAATATCAGACGCGTAGTTTCTCCCGATGCGTTTAGCTTGGTATCTAGCCACAAGGTAGATACGAGTGTACATAACAAGCATCGCGAGCAAAGGTAGAAAGAAGCTTACAGTGGAGACGAAGTAAAGATAGTTCGGATATGGCCAGTCGATATCATGTGCGTTGATTAACCTTAAACATGATATAGCCGCAGCGTATAACCAGACGAAACCTATTATATAAATTACGCGCCGAGTTGTTAGGATCTTGGGATAGCTAAACGGAGAGGTGATGGCCAGCTGGCGGTCGAAGCTTACTGCTGTTAGGTTCATTATAGATGCCGTGCCACACAAAATATCCGTGTTGTCCCAAAATTGTTTCAGCTCCTTACTGTAAATCCATTTGTTATCGGTTAGTTGTATTGTGAACCAGAATGGCATAGCGATGAAAGCCACCAAAATATCACTGACTGCTAAAGAGATGATGAAAAAATTGCACTTTGTCCGTAGATCCCGGAATGTGTAAAAGCTTGCCACTACGAGAAAATTTCCTCCCAAAGCTACAACGATTTGCAAGGCGACGAACACTGCTAGAACAATATTTGTTATTCCTGGGTTTATCTTGGCCAGTTGAGTAGGCAGAGCTTCTGTAAGTGCACTTGACGTCGAGTTTGTAAGTTTGGCTCCTGTAGCCATTCCTGTTTCAAAGAAACAACAATATACAGCCCAAATGTTAACAATTGTTAATCCCAGGCGATAAAACAAACAATGTCCTTGAGTGAGTTCTAAGATGATCGGTTCCAGCGAAACTCTTTTCGCCAGGTTTCTTTGTTAAGTAAAACCTGCCGCCTAAAATCTACTCTCGACATCCTGCGGAAAATGATGTCAAATCTTGTTTCTCTGCATGGGCAAGTAAAAAGCACGCATCGATGTGAAACAAATGGGTGCCTCTAGCTAATAACATGAAATCACCGTGAATTTGCATGATCTTGCAAACTACATTTACGGGTAATTTGCTCTTGAACAAAGCTACGTAATGTGCGGTAACTGTTGAACAAAAGGATGCTTAAAGCCAAACGGGAACCTCTGTTAAATTGCTATTTGGCAGAAAAGTAATATTATATATCTCAACTCTTGAGATTATTGTTGCGAAGCACACAACAGGGTATTAAGAGATTGGGTCCTGGAGTGCATACCAAGAACAGCTTTATTTAATAAAGGTGAAAATATTCATTTTTATGCACGACAAGTGCACAGCTGTTGGTTCTGAAATATCCACTTACACGGTATAAGTTTCTTGCTTAAATGTATTTTTAACAATGCCGACCAACCAAGCCGTTGAGATTAAGTGTTTTGTCAGGTTGTTTGAGGTTAACGCAAAGTTTTACCAGATTACTATCATTCAATTTAGAAGCCCTCCGATCCGATGACTCTTTAATTTTTTGCAATAAAACTGATCAAATTGTTTTGTTTTTTTTTTCCCTTTTCTTTAGAGATACTTCTCGGGTGATAAGTAGTCGCACGGTTATAAACAAGGAAAAATACCAGATGTACCAAAGGAATAATTGAAAAAAAATAGCATGTTTATACGGCCGGAATATACCACTTCAAAGAGGGGGCAGTATAATTAGAAAAGGAGGTAAAAATTTAGGAGGTCAAGTGTGTAGCTCCTGTCCAAATATTGAATAGCGTTCCATTAAATATATTTGCATACAAACAGAACATTTGATCGTAATTTGTAATGGATTGTTCATCGAAGGCGGGTGGCGTCGATGAAACATGCATTAGAGGTTGCATTGATCACTCAAATCGCCATTTCCGGAGCTAGCTATTTTTTTCATTGTTGCTCAAACAGAAGACCACAGAAGCCATTAAGTGATCATTGTCGTAAATTTGTTTGGTTGTGTATTGTTTTTATCACCTGCGTTCCTTTGACTCGTTCAAACTATTCAATCTACACGGAACGCCCAGTTTATGTCAAGCGAAATAGATTATTCACAACCGTCTATTTTCTCTTAATCTTTTTTATGAGCGCTATTTCTGCCCTTCAGTGCTGTTTGTTGAGCTGGGTTAAGGAGGTCGGACACCTTATGACGGCTACACAATGTACCACAAGATTGCAGTGAGTTCAGAAAACCAAGTGAATGATGTGTTGTATAGGCTTCACAAGGCGTCCGGCTTAGCGCAGTTTGTCGTGTTCGTTCCAACCTCTACAGAGGCTGTAAACAGCCAATCTACCCAGGAGTCCATCCCCGTCTCTGACCAAAAGGATCGCCGCCTCTAGGAACGAGATTGTGTAAACAACCTAAAACGAAATACCCGGAAGCATGCGCAGAACGTGCAGTTCTGCATTTTTACGGGCCACTGTATTTGTAAATGCGACAAAGTATTGATGAAGTGACATTTCAATCGTTTTCTTCTCCAACACACATTTTAATACTATCGCCCAGTAACCCAAACCTTTGATGCTGGTCCCATGATCGAAAACGCAGAATACAGATACAGATGGTAGTTTGTTAATTAAATTGTGGTACGCCAGTAATATATATCAGCGCTTTATTGAATTACCTTCAACTGGAGTTTAAATTTTAAAAAAAATACCCTAACATGTGACCAAAGAGAAGAAAAGGGAAAGTGTTTGTGTAGGTAACTGAGATGTACAGTCTATTAATTATTATTATTATTAAAAACTGAATCACTGGATAATGCAATTCTAGAGCTCTGATTTGCTAAGCCATCATGGTACATGAGCCATAATACCACGGTCTCCGAATATGGTAACTGTGCGCGTTGTCTCAAAATTAAAAACAAACTGAAAAGTCGGTTGTTTTTACAAATAAAGTCGGGAAGAATTCTCCATATTTTGTGGGCGTTTTTAACAAAACAATGATTCTACTCGCGCTTGTTGGGTGTGAGATAATTATAGCCAACGAGGCGCTACGCACACTCGTGGAATAATTGTTTAATAGTACGTTACTGCGTTAATGACAGAGACCTTTAGTGACCTTAAGTTTTCCGTATAATCTCAAAAAAATATACACCCGGGGAAACTTCATTGTGCTTTTTTTTTCACCAGAAGAGTTAGCAAGGTTATTTTATTGACGGGGGTAAGCCCGCTCCCGATCGCATATCGATAAAACTTCTAAAAGTAAATAACTTGCTTGACAGTACTACGACGGCTATCATGTTTTCTCGCCAAAATGACGCTGATTCAAGCGCGCGCACTATTCAATATTGAGGAAATCTTGTTCTCGTAGTCGTACTCGTCTTAGAATCTGAAGCTCTCTATTGATCAGTTTAAATACACTTGAAAGAAAAATGTGGGCCTGTGTTTAGTCACTGAACTGTTAAAACTGACATCATTGTGGTGAAGGGTGCCTCTCTAATACGGGCATTTTGCTCTGTCCCTTCGGTGTTCGTAAAAGACAGGTTCGACTGTACATTATTTTGTGCAGGTCTCATAAACGGTCTGAATAAAAGCCAAATTCTCTACACTGAAGAACTCTTACCGGTAGTGAGTGAAGTAGCCCGTGAACGAATATATGTTCTCTGGCCTTCTTTATGTCATGAAATTAAGCGGCCTTATGCCGAAGCACTGGATGTTGCGTTCATGTGTTGAGTTCATATGTGTGTGTTCGTTTGTGTTGGGGGGGAGGGGAGTGGAAAAAATCTCGGTCCGTTGAGGAACAGGATGGTGTCGATAGTGTAAGTGCAGGAGAGAAGAGGGAGAGAACGACAGGCGATCTGTGTACTTTATTTACAGTAACATCGTAACAACGTAAACTCGCCATGGGACAGAAAAAAGTCCACGCCAAATTACGTAATATTTCAGAAAGAGAAACGTTTCAGCTCCAGCGGTGAGCGTTCGTGAAAATCCTTAGGCTTTCAGAATTTGCACAGTAATCTATAAGGTACTAGAATACTTCGCGAAAGAAAACCTGAGCGATCCCATGAATAACAACAGAAACCGATTTAAATTGACATTTCATGGCAATCAACTTGAGATTTTTGTGAATGGCCGATAAATGGCATTTGCTTTCAGCGCAATCAACTTGAGATGGAATTTAGTCTAACTACTGTTGTTTGAATGGGCCATGATCTAAATTGTGGCCCATCGAAACTGCGAGATTAGTAGTTTGAAAAGTAAAAGTTTGTTCCGTCCTTTGTGTATGTTTGAAATTGTTTATTCATATGTACGTCTTTCATAAATAAAATCACCCTGGGAGCGAGCGAAAATAAATCTCTCGCACGTCTTCAAAGAGGGAGGAGTAGACTACCACAAAAATATTAGCAAGTGCAAAGCTGTTTGCTTAGTATTATGTCTTGCCTAGTGTTGTGGGTGTCATATATTTACTTTTCATTAATTTTCATACGACGTGTTTTTACTAAAGATTTTTCTATCGTCTTTTACTATTACATCTAACATAATAATTATGGAAGACAAGTCTACATTGGCCGCATGGCATGATAGGGAGTCGCTTTCGAGTATCTGTGATATTTCTGGAGACTAAAGGGCCGAAGCTGAAATCTATGCCGGCAATTATGTTGGCTTTCTATGCTCGTTTTGTTTTCATTCAGATGTACTTTGTTAATGCCAGAGAAAATTCATTAAAGGCAATAGTTGACAAAGGACGAACCACGAGCTGGAGACTGACTTAACTTTGCTTGGTTTAAAAGACGTTTTTAATAACAGATAACCAATCTTACAATTTGACGGGAGCCTTGTGTGTAAGGCCGACAGTCAAAGTTTTTAAGTGTATGAAACCTTGCCTAAGAACGAAACCGAAGAATTGAGTTCGGTTCATTTTTGGGCTCGTCTTCCTCCTCTAGCGGCCTAAGATGGGCAGTAGAAATGTAATGTAAGCAAATTATGTCCAATCTATAGACTCACCAGTACGAGACGATAGTAGAGATTCTCTTCAGTGATCCTGAGTTTTGGTTCTTGCTTTGTATTCAGTGGCAGCTGCAACATAAAAATCATCTGATAATTGATCAACACATTAATTCACTTTGTTGACACGGGGAAACAGGGAAACCTTTCGATATTCGCAATCCAAATGTACGTCAGAAATTCCAATCAAAACACTCGTGGTACAGATACTAATCCCGATCACTTGTGACGCCTTACAGTAGTCGTGATCTGATTCCACTGCCATTGCCGAGCGCCAAAGGGGTATAATTGCTGATAATATATTCACGGTAAAATAGCTGGTTCACGTGACACGGCATGAAGCCTGTAGGTGATATAATGTCACTTTCGACTGTGCTCACTTACAGTGAGCATGCTGTGTTTCATGAAACAGAAAGATAATTCTAGAGTCTTGACAACAAGGCTCGGTTAAGTGCAAACAAGAAAAAATTTAATTTGGTGTCATATTGCTTCCGACGGGTCCCGCTTACGATAAGCAATTAACGAATTGCAATCAATAGACTTAGTCGTTTGACAGGTGCCGGGAAAGAAAGTAACCATGGCAGCATATCACGAGAAAAAGGAAAATCAGATCGTTTCTGATGATCTCTTTCATAAGCTTATGAGAAAAAAGGATTTAATTCATTAATCTTCCAAAAAAAAATATTTCTTTAAAAAGGCAAACCAACTAGCATCTCCTGGTGTCTCGTTCATTTGTGTTAATTTTAAGTTCTTTATGCGTTTAATTACGTATCATTTTGCACGGTAAAATGAAGAGAAAAGACTACAAAGTGAAATACCTTACTCTTATAAATTTGCTTCGAGATAAAACCACAAAAAATAATAAAAAATTCGAGTGGTACTAAGACTTTGGTGCGTCTTGCAGGTGGTGGGTTCTTTTACCCCAAAATCTACTTTTTTGTTTACAAAAAAGCTTAGCTGTAATAATTTCTTAACTCGAACAGAATATTAGAAACGCTAGTTTTCCCCCATTTTGGGGGGAAATACAATAGTTATGGTTCCGAAGTACAAACACAGAGAATACAGAAGTTGTCTTTATGTATATTTACGAGAATTTAATTGTTTTTAGAAAGTCTAACCAGAGTGCAAATTTGCGTCTTCTATTCACTTTTTTTTCTTCATTTTTTCCTCTCTTTTTAATTTTCTTGCGCTGTTAAAAAACCCGACTGGGAGACAAAAAGCCGGGGCTTGTCTCAATAAGCGTAACTATTCTCAAAAATTGCGGGGGATGCAAGATATGTATAAATATCGTTTAAAACAAGGCAGGCGACAGACTCAAATTTGCCGAAACCAAATATCACAATGATGATAAATTTGGCTTTCTTCTGTGATACGTTTTGGAAGCGGCTGTCACGCTGACAGTGCCAGTATATAAACGGCTTGAAACATTGCTCTGTCATTTATTGGCAAACAGTTGTGAGTGAAATACGAAAGTGACACCAGACAAATCAAGACAATAGACATCTTTTGGCTTTGTTTTTTGAAAAACACGCAAACAGCGACACCCACGTTAAACAAAGACAATGCTTATTGTATTTGTAAATTGAAAGAGGTAGATTTGAATAAATCTACACATTCTGGGTACGGATTTTCAGAGACTTCCATATTTAAAATCTGTAAAATTCCGAAAGTAACGACTCCCAGAAGTAGCGTCAGTATTCCACTGTCTTTGGCAAATCCCTAAAGTTGCGACCCTCAAAAAGTGGCGAGCTCAAAAGTTATTTACCTACTCAACATATCTAGAAAGATATAACGAAAATGATAGATAAAATAAGCTTATGCGACTTTTATTTTTAATGATTTTTATGTGATTTGACGCTTTTTTTTTTAAAGATGAGAATAATACAGAACTCTTAAAGTACAAAACACATTTTTCAAAAGTCTGTAGAATACTCGTTGCAAGCGAAATAGGGATGCACGTATACCTTACACATTTTAACAACTCTATCGACCCCGTACCGAAAATTTACGACCCTCCAATGTACCAATAGGAAAAGACTGCTAAATCCGAAAGTAAGGAAGGTCATAACTTTCGGAGCTTTACTTGGCATGCGCAAAGTACTATTTCCCAACAACGTGGCATAGTATTATGAGAACTTGAACTAAATATCTAATCCCTAAAGCGAGGTGCGCATTGCTTTCTGATTTGCTTTGTACATTTTTAATGTGAGGTATTGCATTGGATACCCTAAAATTGCAATATAATACTTAGCATGCGTTAGTTATCTATTAATTGTGCCCCTGATTATGTGCGCTGGTTTCGTTATCTGCTATATCACTGTTAGCACGCCTTCGACCTGAGAACTCGCCTTTCTTTTTTAACCCACCCTTTCCCACCCGCAGGCCCCGTCAGGGAGAACGGCCTCGGTCTTGCTCCCCACCCCTCTCCCCTTGATGCGACAGCTTTGCTTGTTCCGGCAAACAATGGAGATGATTTTGTTACACATAGGTGTGTGGTTCTTGTTTTTTTGTTGCTAGGATTATATAGGAAAAAAAATCAAAATGAGTTTTTTGCTTGAGGCTTCTTCTCCAAACATTGTTCAATTTTGATCGAGCGGAGAATGGATTTAAACGGACAATGGGGAAAATTTCTTGTGGTCACTACTTGTTATTTAACCAGGAAATTATCCGTCCTTTCTTTTATCTCGTGAAAAGGAAGGAAAGTCAGTACGCAGTGCTATTTTATGCTATTTTTTTACGCACTGTTTCGTTCTCGAGAGATTTAAACTGTTAAAGTGCTGACACCCAACCCGGGACAATTGGAAGAAGATTGTGCTATCACAAATGGACCAATAAAATTCATGGTTCAACTATGCAACCGTTGAAAACTTTGAAACCATTTGAACTTACCTGACCTCTCGGGAAACAACCCTCAAATATTATGAATGTTATTGGTCCGTTTGAAAAAAAACTTAAGAATTTTTTGTTTTCAAAAAAAAAGTTGTGATTGGATCATCTTCTTCCAAGTGTCCCGGTTTGAGTGTCCGCGCTGTAGTAGACTGTTAATAGTCCCCTATTTTCCGTGAGATCGTCAAGAACAAGCGTTAAAGCAGGGGTTCGTACAGGTCATGGCATAAATGAAAAGTCATGGAATTTAAGAATTTCATGTTCCAGGCCTAAAATGTTAAGGGTTAATCGTCGTTCCTTGAAAGTCATGGAAAATTAAAGTCTTGTTTGGTAGTTTAGTTACTGCGGATGACAAAGCAAGAACAAAGTAGGCTGGGATAGATAGGAGTAATTAAACAGCGCAAACGGCAAGCATTTTGGAGGACGCCAGAATTTGTGTCTTTTTAACTGTTTAAGGCCCAAAATATCCCCAAACAAGGAGAATTTTGAAAAATTTTGAAAGTGATATCTAAACCTAAGGTCTTGAAAAACTTGAAAAGGTCATGGAAAAAGTAATGGACTTTGAAGAGCTTAAAAGAGTACGAACCTTGTAAGGGTGGCCATTGCGTCTTGACCGAGTCTAGCTTGAAAATTACTATTTCATCTACTTAGCAAGTGGCCAAGGGACAAATTTTCTCGATCTCGAGGATCTTACTGAAAAATAGGCGGACTGTGAACAGTCCACGGCGCCTGTTCATTTTATAATGGAGAACGGATTCTTATCCCCGGATTGGCCCTCCGTCAGGGGCACCCAACGTCAATTTTCGGAAAATATCTGTTCGGAAGACGATTTGAGATCTAGAATTTTCGGAGCATTTGCTGTAAAATTTCTTGCTTGCCTGCCTCTCCTAGGATTCTCCAACATCTAAAAAATGGTAAAATAGCCCATTTTTAACGGATTTTTGCCCTAAAAAGCTCACCTACAATTTTCGAGAGCCTTTTTCTGGCTGAAATTTTCGAAAAGATAAGTTTTGATCCCTATAATTTTCGGATCACTAGACTTTCAGCTAGGAAATACGAACAGATGAAAAATTTTTAGGGGATAAAAAAATGCCTATATCTACCGTTTAAATACTAAAATACGTTTAACAATGCTATGTTTAAGTGGTTTTGAACTATATTACCGTTGAGTGCATGCCCCTGCTCCGTAAACACGTATCCGATGAAAACGCTTCTATTAACCATGTATACTGTAAGATTGATCACCATCAAATTTCTCCTTGTCTCAATGCTTTATAAGACAAAGTGATCCTGATAGTTGAGGGCATGATCACACTAGATGAATAAGCTTGATAACACCGCAGCGTAAAACGCTTATTGTTCTCGGGACTAGCTTTTACTTCTAGCATACAAGTTTGAAGATTTCTTCTACTTCCATAGAGACTAGCCTGGGGTAGCAAATGAGAATTAGGATCTTATCTTAGGGCTTAAAGTTTTAAAAACGCCGTTTTTACCGTACTCGTGTGGACGGATGCAAACGGAGATTTAGGAAAACGTTGACGTAATGGTATATATTATCTCGCACGAAATAACAGTGTGGCCAAATTTTTTTTCAGGACTGATAATAATTCTTAAGTCAACTTTTCTTTTATAACGCTTCAATGTTCAGTAAAGACGACGATTCTCATAAACAGCAGGATTCGATTCCTAGGAGTGACCTCCAACCCTTGTTTCGTCTGACTTACCTCCTTTCCTCGTAGCTTTAAATACTAGTAAAACGGAGCACTGAGAGAGAGAGGGTCAAATAAGCCGCACATCGTTGGCCTCAGATTTGTGAGTCGAAAGGGACTGTTACGAGCTATTGACTTGCCTGGACTTTTACCATTTAGAAGTCTACATGCGAAACCTTTTGTACGGTTAGACTAGGATGCCTACCAAGCAGTTATTTCAGAGAAGGAGAATGATTCAGGTCAATCTGGATTAAAAGGTTTCCGTTTGCAAACAGGAACCGATAAATGTCTACGGATGAAAACAATTCGAAAACGCTACGTGCGGCTAACTATGTTTTTGAAAAAGAGAAGATATCCGTTTTGAAATAAAAATGAATACGTTTGAACCACCCCTCCCCCAAGTCAACATTGACACTTACTTCTCACTTAGGGCAAAATTGTGGCTTAGGGGAGGGGGTAAATGACTAAAAAGTGTGAGATCGGCTGGTTGTTTCT